GTAGTAGATCCTACTTGCCACCTTTTTTCAATGTAGGTGTTGATATCGATGGTTTTGAACTTTTTCTTGCTATTCTGGTCGCTAAAAATAGAGATGGGACATGAGAAAATATTATAATGATGACTTAGTAGTATAGTAGTAGTAGTAGTAGCAGCAGCAGCAGCAGCAGCAGCAGCAGCAGTAGTAGTAGTAGTAGTAGTAGTAGTAGTAGTAGTAGTATCAATTCTACTACTTGCCACCTTTTTTCAATGTAGGTGTTGCTATCGATGGTTTTGAACTTTTTCTTGCTATTCTGGTCGCTAAAAATAGAGATGGGACATGAGAAAATATTATAATGATGGCTTAGTAGTATAGTAGTAGTAGTAGTAGTAGCAGCAGCAGCAGCAGCAGCAGCAGCAGCAGTAGTACTGTAGTAGTAGTAGTAGTGGTAGCAGTAGTAGTAGTACTAGTAGTAGTAGTAGTAGTTGCCACCTTTTTTCAATGTAGGTGTAGATATCGAGGACGATATCGATGGTTTTGAACTTTTTCTTGCTATTCTGGTCGCTAAAAATAGAGATGTGACATGAGAAAATATTTTAATGATGGCATTGGAATTTCATTTAAAAAAGACGCTAAAATTAAAAGCAATTTAATTATTGCGTACTGTTAACACATATCTCATATTCTTTATAAAAGGCTACCTTTTGTTTTCGTATCAGGTTTCGAGGTTACCGTAACCGCCGCTCTTCCTGTACTTTTTGTTGCTGCCGGAAGGTCTGGGATAGGCAATAACAGTTTTAGTTATATATATCGAAGAAAGTGGTACTTTCTCAGTGAATGATACAGGTGTAGCAATTGAAACAACAACAACAACAACAACAACAAAAACGTTAAGTGATTGTAAAATTAATCTATTTGTTTCATATAATAAAGATTATGTAGATATATATTGTCCTTGCTACCAATACCACAGTTGAATCCCCAATAGTTTCCTTACGTACCTATTTCAGTAATGTTAAGGTAACCCACTTTCCARCCCACTTCATTTGTTGCGTTACACTTGTACATTCCATATAAACCGGTGTTGCTATCTAGTATTTTGAGAACCATTCTGCTGCCGCCTGTTATTTCTKTGACACCAGATTCAACTTGCGTGCCATCAGCATAATACCACTTGATTGAGGGGCGTGGGTGTCCACTTGCTTTGCAAAGTAGGACGATAATCTTTTCGTTGACAGTCCAGTTTAGAAACGATATATTAGGTTTGTCTACGAAAAAGGAAATAACGAATGGAAAAAAACAAACATTAAAAAGTATATATATATATATGTTTTGAAAAGCTATTTGTTCCATACCCTGGTCCCAGAGCTTTCTCGTTTTTTTTTTCTCTGTAAAAAGCGGCAACAACGAGCTGCGAAGCAGCGAGCCGCGAGAAACCTCTGGTCACGACCGTTGAGAATCTCACTTTCATGCCATCATAGCTGTCAAATCCATCACTTCTAGTCGACCAATCACAAAAGGATGATCGTGTTACAAATTGTCATTAGRGTGTGGAGGCTTAATGCTATATACCAACACTATTTTTTTCAAGTAGGGGTGGGAGAGGAGACTTTGTATATTTACGAGCTGTCAAAATAGTGTACTACACGTGCGACTCTTCTTACTTCGACTCAATAGTTATGGGATTATGCAGAAAGATTATAATACACCGGTAAAGGTATTTATACAGCGTCCAAACAACTTYTGTAGAGCTTGCAGAGAAAGTTTAAAAATCAGTGGGCGCTCGCAAATTAATATTTTTGGAGCAAATAATCGAGAATTTCTTCGCCGTTTTGAGACAGTCGCTGGCGCGAAAGTGGTGGACATCGATGGTATATCGCAAGTTTTGTGCCAAAAATGCTACAGGACTGTTTTGAAATACCACAAGATTTTAGAACAAGAAAATGATATACTAACATTTAGGGAAAACTACAAGGAAACAATAAACCGCTTGGATTTAGTTCGCAAGAAGAGATGTGCTAAGRATTCCCCCACTACAACAGCTGATCCTCATTCACGAAAAGTCTGACCCCTCTCCCCAAACAAAAATATTGACGTGACAAAATCATTCAGCCCCTACCCCCATAGATATCTAATCCAGCCAATCATATTTCTCGTACACTGATTAAAATAGCCATCCAATCAGAATTCGACGATCATAAGATGATGGCATGAAAGTGAGATTCTCAACGGTCGTGACCAGAGGTTTCTCGCGGCTCGCTGCTTCGCAGCTCGTTGTTGCCGCTTTTTACAGAGAAAAAAAAAACGAGAAAGCTCTGGGACCAGGGTATTTGTTCCATAGTTCAGCTCCAGGAATTTGAATCAATTATGGTATCAAGGGCAGAATTGAATGTTTTTAAATATTATTCGACAATTAAATACGTTGAATACTTACACCATACAGTGACTTGTGTTTCAGTCTTCACGGGATACTCATTTGGGTTGTTTGTTGCCTGGCACTGATACGTCCCATTTTGATGCCTTGTGATGTTCTGGATAACGAGGTTAGCGAAACCTACTCCTTGGCTTTTWATTTCCTTGGCTTGGTTTTTCAGTAACACCCAAGTGATGTTGGGAGTTGGATTTCCAGTTGCAGAACAATTGATACCCAGATCTTCTCCCTCAAGCACTTTATTGTTTGCTTGAAATTGGCTGGTGAATTTTGGCCGCGCTGTTATGAACAAATCATACATATACGAGTGTATGTAGAGTAACTTTATTTATATTTATTTTTTATTTATAATCCATTTATAATATAAGTGGCTGTATCTTCACTGAAACACTTATAAGTTATATGACTGCTACAATAACAATAAACAATAACATTAAATGAGTGTCCGACAGCTCTTTAAGATGTTACCTTCTTAAAGAGCATAGAATATAATATTTCCTCTTGATCTGATTCCTTGCTTCGAATTCTTTACACTCTATGTACGCTTACAGTACTTAATGGAGGCAAATAGTTAAGAGCAGATGCCCATTAAAATATCGAGCAAAATCGAGAATTCGCGGTCACAGTCAAAATTTCGATTTTGCTCATTTTTGGTTTGCTGGAAGGTGTTAACAAGTAAACAAAGGAAGAAACTATAAGGACATCTTTCCCAGCCCCCCCCCCCCCCCCCCCCCCAAAAAAAAGGTCAAACTACAAACAGATATATGTTTTTTTCTTGACAATAAAAATTACTGCTAAAATTTAAACGGTGTCTCCTCATGAGAGCACCTCTTGACTCTTTGAAGTGTAAGCTTTCGAGCAGAGTCTCCTGTTTTACCTTCTCCCCAGGCCCGAGTGGTTAAAGGAGACTGCTCGTCTCATTCTCCATTCCGATTCCACAATTACGGTAATTTCCAACTGCCCATGCATTTTAATAAGATCCACTTCGCGGCGAAGGATCGCACCTCTTTTGAAACTACATGAAAATGTACAAAAGTCTACAAAAAGACGCCGGATAGCCGRATAGGAAAATAAAATACCGGGATTGTCCCGAAATCCGAATCTACCTAAACGAATGTTGTAACTGCCGAAATAATGGAAATTATTGATAAAAGGTATTTTTTTTAAAGGAAATGCATTTTCGGGATTTAATTTCGGATGAAAATAGAAACGAATGCGAAAATAGCGACCAGAAACAACAAACACTTGTCGATTTCAGTCACGGCATATGTCGAAAATACCCAGTGTTCTCGGCCTCCATTTAAACCCTAAATACAATAACCCAAACTGATTTTTGGATATGTTCTAGAAGAACATCTAAATAGTTCATGACGTGCGTTTCATTGAGAAAAAAAGTTGCGCACTTGATTAATTATTTTTTGGCGTAGCGAGGGTCAGATCTATGAGTGAATACCACTCAATTCTAAATACCATCTGACGGCTTTTAATAAATAGCTAAAACCATTATTTTATACCCAATCAAGTCTCAAACAACTCTTCTTTCAATTTATAAACATATAGTTTTCATATCTTTTTCCTTTTCTGTATGCGTTAGTTGTTTTTGGACCGGTTAGATTCAACTGACAATTTGCAAACATTTTAGATAGCCGCTAGGCCAACAGGTTTTATCGGATTTCTAAGAATTTTAGCGTTGTTTTGAAAAACTAACTACACCACGTTTGTTTACTTGGTAATACCTTCATCAAACCAAAAAAGAGCAAAATCGAAATTTTGACCGTGACCGGCTTATGCTCGATATTAGTGGACCTTCGCTCTTAAATGGATACTGTCTGATTGGTGGCAGAATAACTTAGCCTTTAACTAGCAAACATATAAACAATTGTTACCTCTGTAACGATAATTGCGTAAAAAATGATGACGATTTTTAGGTTTTTTTCCTTCTTATTTTCTTCTTCTTCTTCTTTTTCAACTGGCGCTCGTTTTCAAATGATGTCAGCTCTTTTATTTGGTTTTACACTGACATTTTATTTTCAAATCAAATCTAAGAAAAACATTATATTGTTCTCAAAATTTTAGAATTTTAAAATATTCAAGCAAGTTGTTTTTTAAGGTTTGTAAAGTATATTAGGCTAAAATACTTACTTGTAACAAGAAGCTGAATTTTACTTCCTATTGGCGGTAAAGTCTTCATTAATAAATTCATCCAGTATATTCCACTATCAGCAGTAGTGACATTAGAGATAACCAGGGTGGCATTGGACTCTCTACTGACTCGAGTGGTAGGGTATAAAAGTCTAGCAGGACACGTGTCATTACTGATTGTCCATCTCCAATCTCTTAAGACATGATCATATCCGATTAAAAGAGGTGTTTCATTAGCATAGTAATGGCTCCATGTAGGGGAAATTAACTGAAATTCTTCCTTCCTGTTGTCTACGGTGTAGTCCCAAACCAACCTGGCTGTCTCACCACTGACAACGTACATAGGATTCGGTGGAACTTGGATGATTCGTGCTTTACCTATTGAATGAATAAACGCACCTCAGTACTTGTAATAACTATTGACAAAAGCAGAACGCATAATCGTGTATATTACATAAATTTCAAATAGTAGGAATATAAATCACAATACCTTGGACATAATTTTCATTTACTGTGATAAGGATCACAAAATAGAATAGCTGATGTAGAATCGAGAGCTTCATCTTCTAGAGTAGAGTTATGTCCAGTTTACATCGACATTTGCAACGTCATAAGAATTCAAAGTTAGAAAGTGCAAGCGGATAAAAAAGGGATTTTTTTTTTCACTTTCTATAATATAGGATATTAGCCGTCTCTCATTGACTTCTTTTTAAATTTTATTTATTTTTATTTAATTCTTTTCTCTGAGTTCTTCTCTCTGCTTGTCTTGCCTTTTCATGTCCACTTCAGCCAGATCTTTACTGACCTCTTTTGCCTTTCAATTCACATTTTTTCCACTAATTACTAACCTCATTAGCATAAAACATGATTTTACTTGTTGAGCGACGGTGAATTTGGATTTCATTAGAAAGATCCGCTTATTATACTTATATGTCGTAAATAATATATTGATGGTAATAATTGGCAAAAAGATTCCTTTTCAAAATAATACAGGATACGTACATTATATACACCCAACTGAAAAACGTTGCCGGGTTCAGAAAAGGTTATATTATCAAAGCTAAGACCGAAGGGGAGCATGGGAAGACAAACAATTATGCTAATTTCATGCGTATTGCAGTTTTCTCTTGCTGCGCACATTTTATGCATCATGGCTTTGGCATGTTGTTAATCTCTGGTCGACCGACTTTACTCTGCTGTGCATTTTTACATGTCTATATGCAAATATAATACAAATTTCGGAGTACCCAAACTCCCTTTCGGTATTAGCTCCCATAATATGACCTTCTCGAACCCGACTACGTTTTTTTCCCCAGTTAGGCCTATATTCAATATCGCAGCAAAAGTAAATACGACAATTTAGGAAATAAATATTCATCCAAATTTATTCAAAAGTGTTTTTTGAGCGTAAATTACGTTGACCAAAAGGGGGGGGGGGGGGAAACGGTTGACACGAAATAGAGATGAATAACACATCGAAACGCAAACATCACAAACCACCTGACAATATATCCGCACGTGATCTTACTTTTTTCCATCAATATTTGCATACAGATGCAGTTTCTGATATTCAGAACTTTGTGGGTTATGTACGAAGTTTAATGCTTCGTACTTGCGGATATACAAGGGAAGTTCTACTCCTCTAGCACTGTCCCCTATAGTCCTGTTTAGAGCTTGATAGCCTTGCATGTTCGACAATAATGCATCAATATTMAGTTCTTGATAATTATGGTGATTTTGTGAGTGTTGAACGTCAGATGTACTTGTTCCTTGTTCTGCATTTCCTGCATCAAAAGATGACTCAGATTTTTCTGATATTCTTTCGTAGTCTTCGTTTGATGACGTTATTTTTGGTGCATTTTCGGCTAAAACTTCGTTTGGAGCAGAATGCCTCATTATTGTTACAGCAACCACGCTTGTGTCCTGAATTTAATATAAAACATGCCGAGTATTAAAATAATGACAACAGTGATGCAAGTGAAAGAAGGTCGGAAGGGAGGGATGGACTGAAAAACGTCGACGGATGGACATGGGAAAAGAAAAAAAGAAGAGGAAGGAAGGGAGTAAAGAAAAAAGGAAGGAAATAAGGAAACAATTAAAGAACAAAAAGACAAAAAAGGAAACAAGAAAACGATATAATGAATAAAGTTAACTCTCCGATTGAAAGTAAAAACATCGATCGAAATTACAAGGAACATACCTCGTTTTCCGTTCTATTCACAAGTGGACGGGAAAATCTGTTGGAGAAAATAATATATATATATTTTTCGATTCAAAATAAAAACTGGTCTGGATGTATCTTCTATTTTATTCCATGCACGACAGTAATATCGTTTTTAGGCATAGCCCTTTTTCATTTGCAAACATATCGTATACCAAGAGCTTTTGTCTTTATTCCTAGTATATCTACATCACCTTGTGATTTCTTCTCTGTTATCTGAAACTATAAAAAATATCGCCATGTTATGAATATAAGTAATAGGCCCTTTCCAGTTAACGGGCGTGTGTTTGTACTGGTGAGCCAGATTTGGTGATTCTTTATAGCCACTTGTAAATAACTGAATAAAACAATGTGTAAGCAGTGTGTTACGAATTGCAGGTTTATTACGATCTCTCGAAACATGCTGTAGGATGTTGGTTTGCTCACCAGCAAATTTCAAGCATGAGAATCAAAATGCTCATTCAATTGCTTTCAGGAATGGGTAAGCACGTGAATATTGAGCTTCAAAGGTCATATTGTATGATTACATTTGCCATTGATGTAACAAGCAAAAATAAAAAAGGAGGTAAAAAAACACAACATACACCAATACCACATAAATTTAAGAAACAATGCCTACTTACGTTTAAGAGAGTTTCTTTTACATTTGACGTAAATATATGTTAGGAGAACAGCAATGATTATGAATAAAACGCATGTTGTCGACATATTGATAATTGCAAAAGTTCTTCCTGTACAATAACGAAAAAAAACATTAGAAATGTGGAAGGTATTGAATGTTTTTATTTTTTTGTTTTGTTTTTCTACAGAGTTAGTAATAAAAATGATCCATTTTCAGATTTTATTATTAATTTTGTTTTAGCAGAACTTTTTCAACATTTAAAAAATCATTCGATTCCATCGATGCTATTGTGGAAGAATGACATAAAAAGAAGCAGGTTAATATCATAATTTTTTTATGTTGCTTTGTTCTTCATTAGTTATCATTGGCATCAGACAGCGTGTTAATATATATATAATAAGTGCTAACGGCACTGAGCAATCAAAGTTCGACTAAGACGTCGTCTCCCTCAAAATGTCCATTTTTATGCATTACCGTAAACGGTTATTTGATCTCCTTTTCAACTGAACATGTCTACGTATCAAATGAGTTCGACTTCCCGATGACTTCTCGGTGAGTTCATTTTAATGGCATTGTCACAGCATAAAAAATAGTGTTTTTGGTGTTGCCCTTGGTGCTGTTTTATTAGTGTTTGCTACATAACAGCTATGAATTTTTTATTTTATTTTTTATTTAATTTTTTTTTTTTTGAGTAGGTGGAAGAGGGGTATAGTTGTTAATTCCCTTCTCACTAAAAGTATCCACGCAAAAAGTATTCATTAATAATCATGATAAGAAGGTGTACAATGATCTGGGGTTTCTGACCAGGTATGCTTACCTTGGTAAAAAGCGTTCGATGGCAATGCATGATTACAGCTAGGTGTTCTTCCCAACGATTCAAAGGTTGGAGCAACTAAAAGTAAAGAAAA